ACATTAGGATTTATATAGCCTTTCTATTTTATTTTTTTCTGTTGATTTTTAAAACATTTTTCATTAACTTCAACTTTAATTTACATCTTTTTTCTTTAATTTTGTTCTTAATGTAATCTAGTGCTACTTTTAATTAAGAAATTATCTTTACACTTTCTCACTTAACAGTAAAGATATTTAAAGTTAATATATTTTTCCCTGATTATAGCTTAACTGCACCCCACGCATTTTGGCATGAAATATTCTCCTTTTTGTGACTTTCTAGATTAATTTGCTTTTCTCTCTCATCCAAGGGAGACTAATTTTCCAATAGTTAAGGATTTGACATTTAAAAATTGTTTACTCCTATTTTTTTGGATTATGACCTAAGAATATGGCCTAGATAAACCTACTTTTTAAAAATTTATTAAGGTTTGATCTGTGGTCAAGTGCAGGATTGATTTTTGAAGTGTGTTCATCAATATAGAATAAAAAATTTTTTTTTAGTTGTAGGTTACAAAACCGTGTGTGTGAGAGAGAGAGAGATCAAGAGAGAGATTTGATGTATCCTCTATACCCCAAATGGAACAGGTCTTTTGTAAGGCAGATCTGGGGGGGGGTGCGGGTAGAGGGTGGGTGCATAGTTCTCCAGTGCAATGGCCTCCCACCTCCTCCCATTTTCTTACTAAGATTCCTTGGGTTTTGTTGAATTAATGCTTCTCAGTTTAAGTCTTGTCAATCTCTAGACGTGTTGAATGATTGCCTTTACTAATTTTGACTAGTTTAATAGATGCCTCTCTGAGGGAGAGATTTCCCTCTGCTCCTCATCCTGCCATTCAGGACCTTCTGCCCCCCCCCCCCCCCCCCCCCCGCCCCAGGCAGTCTGTTCTGTGCCACTGGATTACTTGTCAATCTCTGTGCTGATACAACGTTGTCTTTTTTTTTTTTTTTTAAGACTTTATTTATTTGACAGGGAACAGAAGCAGGGGGAGCTGGAGAGGGAGAAGCAGGCTCCCTGCTGAGCAGGGAGCCCGACGAGGCTCAATCCCAGGACTCTGAGAACATGACCTGAGCCAAAGGCAGACGCTTAACCACTGAGCCACCCAGGTGCCCCCCCCCCTTTTTTTTTGACTAATTTTTATTAAGTCTTAATTTTCTTTAACTTTGGTATCTGGTAAAACAAGCCCTCCTACCTCATTCTTTTTCTTAAAGAGAATCTTGTCTAGACTCTGAAATTGCATATAAATTTTAGAAGCAATTCATCAATTCCATTAAAAAAATAAAACCTATTGGAATTGTTTACTGGGAATGCATGGACTAGAATAGACATCTTTACAAGATTGACTCTTCAATCTAAGACCATAATATATTTCTTCATTTAAGGATTTCATCATTTCTCAAAGTTTTAAACATTATTTCTAAATATATGTGAAATCAGAGGGAATAGTTTGAACCCTCATACGTCCATCACCAAGATTTAATAGTAATTAACATTTTGCTATATTTGCTTTATATTTTTCCTTTAAAATATTTTAAAGGAAGGAATTCTGCTATCATGACATTTGACTTCTATACTAAATACTTCTAATATGTACCTCTAAATAACATTTTTATAACCTTTATACCATAACTATATCTAACAATTCTTACTTTAAAATTCATTTGCTATTTTTTGCTGGTATACTTAAATATGAGTTTTTTTGTGTATGGACTGTATCAGTCTTGTTAAACTCAAAATTCTAACAATATACTGTATTTCAGTGTACCTAATACACCATCCATATGCCGTATTATACCATACCATTATAAGATATGCCATATATATATATATATATATATATATATATATATATATATACTATAATTCTGAAGAAGGTGCTATGGCCTCAATGTTTGCATGCCACCCCTCCCCCAAATTCATATGTTGAAATCTTAACCCCAGAGATGATGATTAGGAGGCGAGGCCTTTGGGAGGTGCTTAGGTCATGAGGAAGGAGCCTTCACGAATGTGATTAGAGTTCTTATAAAAGAGACCTCACCGAGACCTCTTGCCCTCTCCACATGTGAGGACACAGCAAGACGGTGCCCGTTTATGAGCTAGGGAAAGGGCTTTCACCAGAACACACACGTTAGTGCCGTGATCGTGGACATCCAGACTCCAGAACTGTGAGAGAGAGATGTTTGTTGTTTAAAGCCACCCAGGCTGGTGTTTCGGTATGGCAGCCCAAACAGACTAAGACAGGCTCCCAACTTAATTATGACTCTTCATTTATTGTGAAATGCAGCCCAATTACAAAGATGTTAAAATAATTTTTAATGTGTCTTAAAATTTATAAAATATGGTCTCTGTAGATTGTCTTGGATTTCCTATGTAGACAAGCATATCCTCTGCAGACAAGTTTTGTTTCTTGCTTTCCCATCCCTTTACCTTTTACACCTTTGTCTTGCCCTACAGAGCTGGCTCGGACATTCAGTACAATGTTAAATAGAAGTGTTGGTAACAGACATTCTCCTCAAATGGAAAGTGTTAATATTTTTGCCGTTAAGTATGATGTCTATTGTTTTTTGTTCTCTAGACACCCTCTTAATTAGGCTAAGGAAATTCTTTTCGTGGATTGCTAAATTTATCCTTTTCATGAATAAATTTTATCATACATTTTTTACATGTATTGAAATGATTATGATTTTTCCCCTTTTTGTTCATTAACAGGGTGAATTACATTGATCAATTTTCCAGTGCTAAACAACCTTGCATTCTTGGTATAAATCCAACTTGGACAGATCGTATTGTCTTTTTTTTTTAAGATTTTGTTTATTTTAGAGAGAGAGAGACAGAGATAGCAATAGAGATAGAGCACAGGTTGGGAGGACAGGAAGAAAAGCAAGCTCCCTGCTGAGTGGGAGCCCAATGAGGGGCTCAGTCCCAGGACCCTGGGGTCATGACCTGAGTCGAAGGCAGATGCTTAAACAGCTGAGCCACGCAGGCGCCCCCAGATCATATTGTCTTTTAAACTATTACTGAATTTAGATTGTCAGTATTTTTGCTTAGGACTTTTGCAACAATATTCATAATTGAGATTCTCCTTTTTGTACTGTTTTGTGCTGTTCTTGGTATCAAAGTTACATACACTAACCTCAGACTCCCTCATGGGGAGTATGCTCTTTTCTATTAACTGGAAGAATTCAATACTGAAATTACTTTCTCCTTAAATTTTTGGTAGAGTTTACCAGTAAAGTCAATTTAGTCTATAGTTCCTTTGCAAGAAGCTTTTTTTAAATCACTGATTCTGTTTCTGTAATAGTCACAGGACTAGTTTCTACTTCACAGGCAAGTTCTCTACATCACAGATAAGTTGGGTAAGTTTATTTTTCTTGGAATTTTTTATTTCATCTAAAATTTTTAATAATATCGACCTAAAAGTATTCATTATACCCTCTTTTAATGTTTACATTATAGCAGTAACTCCTTTTCATTCTAATATTGGTAAATTATGCCTTTTTTACTTAACTGGTCTCACTAGAGGTTTGTCAATTTTATTAGCCTTTTCAAAGAATCAAGTTTTTTTGAGACTATTTTATGTTTGTTTTCTATTTAATTTGTGTTCTTTTTAAATTCCTTCTATTTTTTATTTTATTGTTTATTTTTCTAATTGCTTGAGATCAGTGCTTAGCTCATTCAACCATTTGGTCAAATTTGAAAAGAATGTGTATTCTCTATCTCTTAGGTACAGTGCTCTGGAAAACATGTAGTTCAAATCTTGTATTCTCCTCCTCATTTTTTGGTCTGTTTGTTCTATCAGCCATATGTTAAAATCTCCCATGGTGTCTATTCTTGTAGTTTTCTCCATTTTTGCATTATATAATTTTAGGTTATATACTCACATTATATACAATTAAAATTTATTATTTTCCTGGTGAATTTAATCTTTTGTAACTATGAAATGACCCTCGTTTTCTCTAATAATTCTTGTCCTAAAGTATGTTTTATCTGATGTAGCTACATCATCTTCCTTTTAGTATTTGCATGACATGTCTTTTTCTGTCTTTTAAATTTTGAATCTCTCTGTGCTCTCGTGCTTCAGATGGGTCTATTATAAATGGCATATAATTGAATGTTGTTTTCTTATCTAGCCTGACATATTTATCTTTTAACTGGGATATTTAGTTCATTTACATTTAATGTAATAATTGCTGTATTTGGGTTTAAATTTTACCATGTTGTCTATACTTTCTCTTTGCACTATCTGTTCTTTGTTTCTTTTCACCTCCTTCCATGCCTTCTTTTGGATTTTTTTTTTTTTAAGATTTATTTATTTATTTGAGAGAGCAAGAATGAGAGAGAGAGAGAGTACATGAGAGCGGGGAGGGTTAGAAGGAGAAGCAGGCTCCTCGCCGAGCAGGGAGCCCGATGCGGGACTTGATCCAGGGACTCCAGGATCATGACCTGAGCCGAAGGCAGTCGCCCAGCCAACTGAGCCACCCAGGCGCCCTTTCTTTTGGATTTTTAACATGCCTCTTTTTCTTCTAATTTTTATGTCCTTGTATCCCATTTTTGTTGATTACATTTTTATTGGTTATCTTAGAAATTACAACATGTGCCATTAAATTCTCCAAGTCTAATGTTAACCATTACTTGACCTTCCTCTTGAATAAGGCAGTGACCTTGGAACACTTCAACTCTGTATATACCATCCCAAATATAGTTGCTGTGTATTTTAATTTTATATATTTTAATACCCACTCAAGTCATTATTATTGTTTTGTACAATCAATTTTCATTTAGTTTATCCAAATAGGTGCCTTTTTTCTCGTTCTGCCTTTCTTCTTGAATCTCAGCACCTCTGGCTGAATCATTTATTTATCTTCTATCTGAAGTACATCCTTTAATATTTCCATTACTGAAAGTCAGTTGGTAGTAAACTGTTAATTTATATAAAATGTCCATTTCATCTTAATATTTTAAATGTCGGGCGCCTGGGTGGCTCAGTTGGTTAAGCGACTGCCTTCGGCTCAGGTCATGATCCTGGAGTCCCTGGATCGAGTCCCGCATCGGGCTCCCTGCTCGGCAGGGAGTCTGCTTCTCCCTCTGACCCTCCCCCCTCTCATGTGCTCTCTCTCATTCTCTCTCTCTCAAATAAATAAATAAAATCTTAAAAAAAATATTTTAAATGTCATCATTTTTACTGAATGTATAATTCTAGGGTGGGAGTGGTTTTCTTTGAGCACACTGACAATACCATTGCAATGTCTTCAAGCTTCCATTGACTGATGACTAAGCAGCAATCTTAAGTGTTGTTCCTTAAAACTTTTTTCCTCTTGTCTTGGCTTTTCTGTGGCTTCACTGTGCATGTATAAATGTGGATTTATTTTTATTTGCTTTACTTTGGAGTTGTTGAACTTCTAGAATCTGAGGGTGGGTTGGTGTCTTTCATTAGTTCTGGGAACTTTTCCACCATTTTCTCTTCAAATACTACCTCTGGGACATTCTTTTTCTCCTTTCTTTTTGGGACTCTCATGAAACATATGATGGAATTTATCTTTTTATTTGACTATATCCTTAGCCTCTCTTCTGTATTTTCCATCTTCTTGTCTCTGTTGAATTCTGAATAATTTTTCTGACCTCTCTTCCAATTCACTAATTTTCTTTAGTTGTATCAAATGTAATTTCAACTTTCTTTTTTAGAAGCTGCTTTTGGTACTTTCTAAAATCTAAGTCACTATGTAGTTTCCTGTTATTTGGAAACTTTCAACCTTGTATTCTTAAAATAGTAAGCATCGTTATTTTATCATCTATATCTGATAGTTCCAGTATCTCAAAACCTTTTGGAGGAGGGGATTTTTCTATTTGTTCCCATTTGTGGTATCTTATTTCCTTGTATGCCAATTATCTTTGTTTAGTGATTATGCCATTTGGAGAAGTATTTGTAGGAATAATTTAAGGGCTTCTGTGAATGTGTCTTCCTCCTTTCTCAGATGTCTGGGGACACTACCAGTATGGGATCCTCTGATTAAAATTGTTGGCTTGCAATTCCCTGGACTACTCGAGAGTCATGAACACAGGATGTTTACTTCCGGGTCACCCTTATTTCATATATATAGCCCTTTGCAGTCCCAGCTTAATGAATGTGTTGGGTTATCAGACTGCCTTGGCCAGTCTTTGACTTCTGTCCCCTTCACTTTGCAAATTTGCCAAAACCACAACTCAGTCTCTCAGTTGTTTGTTTTGGCTCTAGAAATCACCACAGAGTGGGCCCTTGCACAAAGATGCCCAGCTAAGCAGGGTAAGTGGGATCAAAAATATAACCCCACCCTATGTCACAAGCCATGTGCTGGAGGAAGAAGGGCTTTTAAAAATTATCTGGCCACAGGGAACACTTTTTGTAACTACCTGGGCAGAGGGGCTGCCAGATATGCCAGTGGCATCCTTGCCTCAAGCAAAAGTAGCTCCAACTGCTGGTTTCCTCTCTGGTTTCTTGCCTTTTCCTACATTTTTGTCAATAATTTTTTTGCTAGGGGCGCCTGGGTGGCTCAGTCGGTTAAGCGTCTGCCTTCGGCTCGTCATGATCCCAGGGTCCTGGAATCGAGCCTCACATCAGGCTCCCTGCTCGGCGGGAAGCCTGCTTCTCCCTTTCCCACTCCGCCTGCTTGTGTTCCCTCTCTCACTGTCTCTCTCTCTGTCAAATAAATAAATAAAATCTTTAAAAAATAATAATAATACTTTTTTGCTAGCACTTTGATCAGTTAAAAACCTTTCATCCAGACTTGGTTGTCCTCAATGGGAGGTGGTTCCAAAGTATCTAGCCTGCTACTGAAACAGAAGTTTATAGTTAATTTTTTTAACTTTGTAAATGTTTCTATTTGGGGGTAATCTTATTTACAGAGCAAAAATCTACAAGAACAGAATTACTATTCAAGAGTCATTTTTTTTTATTAGTTTCAGAGGTAGAATTTAGCGATTCATCAGTTGCATATAAACCCGGTGCTCATTACATCAAGTGCCCTCCTTAATGCCCATCACCCAGTTATCCCTCCCCCCTTCCGACCCAACTTCCCTCCAGTACCCCTCAGTTTGCTTCCTAGAGTTCAGTGTCTCTCATGGTTTGCCTTCCTCTCAATTTTCATCTTATTTTATTTTTCCTTCCCTTCCCCCATGTTCATCTGTTTTGTTTCTTATTTCCACATATGACTGAAATCATATGGTATTTGTCTTTCTCTGACTGACTTATTTTGCTCAGCATAGTACCCTGTAGTTGCATCCACGTCATTGCAAATGGCAAGGTTTCATTCTTTTTGATGGCTGAGTAGTATTCCATTGTATAAATATACCCCATCTTCTTTATCCATTCATCTGTCAATGGACACCTGGGCCTTTCCATACTTTGATTATTGTGGACATTGCTGCTATAACCACTGGGGAGCATGTGCCCCTTCAAATCACTATGCTGGTATCCTTTGGATAAATACCCACTAGTGCAATTGCTGGGTCATAGGGTAGCTCTATTTTCAACTTTTTGAGGAACCTCCATACTGTTTTTCAGAGTGGCTGCACCAGTTTGCATTCCCACCAACACTGCAAGAGGATTCCCCTTTCTCTGCATTCCTTGCCAATACCTGTTGTTTCCTGAGTTGTTAATTTTAGCCATTCTGACCAGTGTGAGGTGGTATCTCATTGTGGTTTTGATTTGTATTTCCTTGATGCCAAGTGATGTTGAGCATCTTTTCATGTGTCTGTTGGCCGTTTGTATGTTTTCTCTGAAGATATACCTGTTCGTGTCTTCTGCCCATTTCTTGACTGGATTTTTTGTTTTTGGGGTGTTGAGTTTGATAAGTTCTTTATAAATTTTGGATACTAGCCCTTTATCTGATAAGACATTTGCAAATACCTTCTCCCATTATGTCGGTTATCTTTTGGTTTTTGTTGACGTTTCCTTTGCTGTGCAAAAGCTTTTTATCTTGATGAAGTCCCAATATTTAAGATTCCCTTTTCACTGATATTTTAACTTATCTTTGTTCTTCTACGATATACTCTAGTTTATGTATGTTGCAATAACTTGACTAATAGTGGCTATGATTTGAATTTTGACTTCTATAGAGCTTCCTTTTTAGAATAGTGTATCAAAATAACATACTCATAAAAATTCAGCATTACAGAAAAATATAAAAAGCTAAAAATTCACCCAAAATCTACCCAGAAATAATTATCATTAACATTATTTATCATTCTAGAAATGTTTCTGTGTAATATACAGTAACATATCAGATGATTAATATTTAACATCACACTATATGTCATCGTATAATAGTAATAAACTTAATTTATCTGAAATTAACCTAAGAGGATCAAACTACAAGAATTGATTAATAATATTCCCTGAGTTCCTTAGGCTTGAGCACGTTGCTCCATTACCTCTGTAGCCATTTCAGGGGGCAATTTAGCTGAATACATTCTTCCTTTCCAACCTTACTGTTTTTTTAACACAGGGGGTTTTTGTTTTTGGATATTTGCTTGCATTTTAAAGTGCAGTATTTTCATCCTTTTCTTCTTAGTAAACCTGGATTTAACCAATAAGCAAATTTATCGGAAGGGGCAAATGGGTCCCTATTGCCTGAGTTTATACTGGCAATGTCAGTCTTTTGCCTTTATAGCTGAATGATGACTTTTTATCTATTCTAATTATTTTCCTTCTGTATCTATTGTGGTTGTGCATCCATTAAGCCATCACTCTGTTGAGAGGATTTTCATCTATGTCTTTATTCTTTAACATGGTCTCTACTTTATGCTGTAATTGTACTGATTTGGTTTTCATTTTATTTCCATGAGAAATACTGAAATCAGCTTGAAAGTCCTAGACTATTTGCTGTTGTGACTTTGTCAGTTTTTAAAATTAATGATGTGTGAAATGTTTTATGAAGCTATTGCAACAAACATGCATAGATTTTAAAATCAAAACTCGGTCTAACCTTTGCTCTCAATAGTTTTGAGACTTTGCACCAGTTTTACGATTTTTTTAATGCTCAGTTTCCTATCTCTAAAATATGCCTAATAAAGCTATTTTGTGTTTTGTATTTATATATATATGTATAAAATACATCCAAAAGTGATACACCCAAAAGTCTAGTTACCATCCATCACCCTACAATTTACCCCTTTCATCCACCCACCCCTCAACACACTTCTCTGGAAACTACCAACTGTTCTCTGTATCTGAGTTTGTTTTCAGTTTTTGTTTTTTTAGATTTCACATATGAGTGAAATCATAAGGTATTTGTCTTTCTTCTTCTGACTTATTTCACTTAGTATAATACCCACTGGGTCCATCCATGGTGTTGCAAATGGCAAGGTTTCATTCTTTTTTATGGCTGAGTAGTATTCTAGTGTGTGTATGTGTGTATATACACATCTGCTTTATCTAATCTTCTGTCAGTGGACACTGGTTGCTTCCATATGTTGGCTATTGTAAATAATGCTGCAAGAAACATAAAGGTACATACATCTTTTTGAACTAGTATTATCTCATTCTTCAGATAAATACCAAGTAGTGGATGAGCTGGACTATATGTTAGTTCAATTCTTAATTTTTTGAGGAATCTCCATACTATTTTCCATAGTGGTTGCACCAATTTACAATCCTACCAACAGTGTACAAGTGTTCCTTTTCTTCCACATCCTCTCCAACACCTGTTATATCTTATCTTTTTTTTAGGTTTATTTAAATAATCTCCCAACCCAACATGGGGCTTAAACTCACAACCCCAAGGTCAAGAGATGCATACTTTTCTGACTGAGCCAGCCAGGTGTCCCATCTTTTTGATAATAGCCATTCCTGCAGGTATGAGGTGATAATCTCATTGTGATTTTGACTTGCATTTCCCTAATAATTAGTCATGTTGAACATTTTTTCATATGCCTGTTGTCCATCTGTATGTCTTCTTTGGAAAAATGTCTATTCAGATCCTCTGCCCATTTTTCTGTTGGTTTGTTTTGTTCTTAAGATGTATCAGATCTTTATTTGTTTTGAATGTTAACCCCTATCAGATGTATGACTGCAGTTAACGTCTCCCACTCAGTAGGTTGCCTGTTCATTTTTATGATGATTTCCTTCACTGTGCAGAAGCCTTTTAGATTGATGTGGTCCCATTTGTTTATTTTTGCTTCTGTTTCCTTTGATTTTGGAGTCTGACCCACAAAAGCACTGCTAAGACCAGTGTCAAGGAGGTTACCATCTATGTTTTCTTCTAGGAAGTCTATGCTTTCAAGTCTTATATTCAAGTGTTTAATCCATTTTAGTTAATTTTTGTGTATGGCCTAAGGTAGTAGTCAAGTCTCATTCTTTTGTATGTGGCTGACCAGTTTTCCAAAACTTCTTTATTGAAGAGACTGTCCTTTCTCCATTGTATATTCTTGGCTCCTTTGTTGTAAATTAACTGTCCATATATGTGTGGGTCTATTTCTGGTCTCAATTCTGTTCCATTGATCTGTTTGTGCTCACACCATACTGTTTTGAATACTGTAGCTTTGTAATATAGTTTGAAAACAGGAAGTATAATACCTCCAGCTTTGTTCTTTCTCAAGATTGCTTTGGTTGGTCAGGATCTTTTGTGGTTCCTACAAATTTTATAATTTCTTTTTTCTAGTTCTGGGAAATATGCCATTGGAATTTTGATAGGGATTGGATTAAATCTACCTCATATTCTTATGTAAAGCAACACTTGGTACACAGGAACTCGGTAAGTGTTTACTGCATTACAGTTCTATTTTTATACTAAAATGAGAAGCCAGCTAGGAGGTTACTATATTCCAGGCCAAATGTGAAAATCTGAACAGGAGACTGTGGCAGTAGAAATGGAAAGGGATTCTGGTCCTTTTGAATAGACTAGACAGTCTATTCAAAGAGAAGTCAAAACAATTGAAAAGAGTACTGATTGAAGGAATGCAATAGATTATCTAAAATAGAAACCGAAGAAATGGACCTGAGCATAAACAGAATATGTAGTTCTTAAAGCTTTCAGTGAATGTTTAACATTCTTTTAATGAAAAAAAAATTAATTTCAGCTTTATTGGGGTATAATTGACATATAAAACTAAGATATTCAAAGTATACTTGTGATTTGATATAAATAAATATTGTGAAAGGATTTCCCCCATCTAATTAATTTAACACATTCATCACCTCACATATCATTTGTATGTGTGTATATGTGAGAACATTGAAGTTTTACTCTCTTAGCAAATTTGAATTATACATTATAGTGTTGTCAATTATAGTCACTATGTTTTACAGTAGATCCTAAGACCTTATTCATCTTATAGCTGAAAGTTTGTACCCTTTTACCAACCTCTCCCTACCTTTAGCCCCTGGCAAACCACTTTTCTCCTGTTTCAAGGAATTTGACTTTTTTTTTTTTTTAAGATTCCACATATAAGTGATACCATATGCTATATGTCTTTCACTGTCTGGCTTATTTCACTTAGCATAATGCCCTCAAGTTCCATCAATGTTGTCACAAATGGCAGGATTTCTTCTTTTCTCATGGCTGAATAATATTCCATTGTGTGTATATACCAAATCTTTATCCATTCGTCTGTAAGAGACACTTAGGTTGTGTCCTTAACTTGGCTATTGTGAGTAATGCTGTAATGAACATAGGAGTGCAGATATCTCAGGCGCCTGGGTGGCTCAGTTGGTTAAGCGACTGCCTTCAGCTCAGGTCATGATCCTGGAGTCCCGGGATCGAGTCCCGCATCGGGCTCATATTCTTATGAGCAGCAGGGAGTCTGCTTCTCCCTCTGACCCTCCTCCCTCTCATGCTCTCTGTCTCTCATTCTCTCTCTCTCAAATAAATAAATAAAATCTTAAAAAAAAAAAAAAAAGGAGTGCAGATATCTCTTTGATATCCTGTTTTCATTTCCTTTGGATATTTACAGAAAAAGGAGATTGCTGGATCATATGGTAGTTTTTAGTTTTTTTAGGAACCTCCATATTGTCTTATATAGTGACCACACCAGTTACATTCCCACCAACAGTGCACAAGTGTTCCCTTTCCTCCACATCCTTGCCAACACTTGTTCTCTCTCATCTCTTGATGATAACCATTCTAATAGGTTATCTAATGAAAGGATATCTCATTGTGGTTTTGATTTGAATTTGATTTGAACTGATGGTTAGTGATATTTGAGTACCTTTTCATGTACCTGTTAGCCATTTGTATGTCTTCCTTGGAAAAATACCCATTTTAAAATCAAATAGTTTGATATTTACCATTAAGTTGTATGTATTCTTTATATATTTTAGATATTAATCCCACATCAAATATATGATTTGCAAGTATTTCCTCCCATTCAGTAGCCTGCCTTTTTAGTTGATGGTTCCTTTGCTGTGCAGAAGATTTTTAGTTTAATAATGTTCCAATTTTTATTTTTTTGCTTCTGTTGCCTTTGTTTTTGGTGTCACATCCAAAAAAATCATTGCCAAGACCAATGTCAAGATGCTTATCAGTTACGTTTCCTTCTAGGAGTTTTATGGTTTGTCTTGCGTTCAAGTCTTTAATCTATTTTGAGTTAATTTTTATGTATGGTATAGATAGTAGTTCAGTTCCATTCTTTTGCATGTGGCTGTCCAGTTTTCCCAACACCATTCATTGAAGGACTATCCTTTCCCAACAATATATTCTTGGCTCCTTTTCCATAAATTGACCATATATGTACTGGTTTATTTTTGGGCTCCGTATTCTGTTCCATTGATTTATAGTCTTTATATACCAATATCATACTGTTTTGGTCACTGTAGCCTTGTAATATAGTTTGAAATCAGGAAGTGTGGTGCCTTTTCTTTCTCAAAATTGCTTTGGCTCTTTGGGGTCTTTTCTGGTTCCGCAAGAATTTTAGGATTGTTTCTTCTATTTCTGAGAATAAATGCCATTTGAATTTTGATAGGAACTGCATTGAATCTGTAGATTTCTCTGGGTAGTATGGACATTTTAACAATATTAAGTCTTCCAGCCCATAAGCATTTAATGTCTTTCCATTTATTTGTATCTATTTCTTTCATCAATGTCTTACAGTTTTTAGTGTACAGATCGTTCACCTCCTTGTTTAAATTTAGTCCTAGGTATTTTTTGATGCAATTGTAAATGGGATTGTTTTCTTAATTTCTAATAGTTTTAGTGTATAGAAACCTCATTGATTTTTGTATATTGATTTTGTGTCATGCAACTTTACTGAATTCATTTATTCTAAAAGTTTTTTTTTTTTTTTTGGTGGAGTCCTTAGAGTTTTCTAAATAAAATGTAGTCTGCCAATAGAAACAGTTTTACTTCTTCCTTTACAATTTGGATGACTGTTCTTTTTCTTGCCTAATCGCTCTGGTTAGGCCATCCAATACTATGCTGAATAAAAAGTGGCAAAAAAAAAGTCACGAGAGTGTGGGCACTCTTGCTCCTGATCTTAGAGGAAATGCTTTTAGCTTTTCACCTTTTTATGATGTTAGTTGTGGCTTGTCATATTAAGTTGAGGTACGTTCCCTCTATACCCACTTTTTTGAGAGTTTTTATCATGACTGTTGAATTTTGTCAAATGCTTTTTCTTCATTTTGTTAATGTGGTTTATCACATTGATTGATTTGCAGGCGTTGAACCATCTTGAATCCCTAGAATAAATCCCACTTGATCATGGTGTATTATCTTCCTAATGTACTGTTGAATTCAGTTGGCTATTATTTTGCTGAGCATTTTTATATCTATTTCATCAGGGATGTTGTGTCTTTGTCAGGTTTTATTTCAAGGTAATGCTGGCCTCATAAAATGAGTTTCAAAGTATTCCCTCCTCTTCTACTTTTTGGAAGAGATTGAGAAGGATTAGTATTAATTCTTCTTTAAATATTTGGTAGAATTCACCAGTGAAATGATCTGGTCTGGGACTTCTCTTTGTTGGATTTTTGACTACTGATTCAATCTCCTTAATAACTGGACTATGCAGATTTTCTATTTCTTCACAATTCAGTTTTGGTAGATTGTATGTCTAGGATTTTATCCATTTTTTCTGGGTTGTCCACTTTATTGGCAAATAATTGTTCCTATTAGTCTCTTATGATCCTCAGTATTTGTGTGTTGTTAGTTGTAAGTCTCTTCTTCTTCTTCTTTTTTAAGTTCCAAAAAGGCTTTATTACTTAGAGGGGAGGGATTCAGTCCTTCTTGGCTGCCATTTCTCTCATAGCTGCCAGGACGTTGCTCAGCTCCTCTCTCTTCCTCTTGGCATGGATGTATGTTCCCACCCTTTTCTTGATGAACTTGAGGCACGCTTATCCTTGGAGACCTTGAGCAGCTCCACAGGATGCCACTTGTATGTGGTGATGCCATGCACCTCTTGGATCATGGTCCACACAAACTTGATGTGCTTGGTGAGGCACCTGCAGTAGGAGCTGTGCCTCAGGTTGGTCACATTCACTTTGTGGACCTTGTTGAGGCCCATGGCCATAAGGTAGCATGGAGCCATGGCTGCTGCTCTTCAATAACTCCCCTGGAGGGACAGCTTCCTCTTTCATTTCTAATTTCATTTGCCCTCTCCCTTTTATCTTGGAATGAGTAGCTAAAGTTTTGTCTATTTTAACTTTTCAAAAAAACAGCTTAGTTTCATTGATCTTTTCTATTGTTTTTGTTTTGTTTTGTTTTTTTAAGTAGGCTCCATGGCTAGGATGGATCCCAGTGTGGGGCTTGAACTCATGACCCTGAGATCAAGACCCACGCTGATATCAAGAGTCAGAAACTTAACCAACTGAGTCACCCAGGTGCCCCTCTATTATCTTTTAAGAATCTATTTCCTTTATTTCCACTCTGATCTTTATTTCTTTCCTTCTACTAACTTTGGGCATAATTTGTTTTTCCTAGTTAAGATATAAAGTCAGGTTGTTTGAAATCTTTTTTCTTAATGTAGGCATTTGTTGCTATAAACTTCTCTCTTAGAACTGCTTTTGCTACATCCCTTAAGTTTTGGTATGTTGTATTTCCATTTTGATTTGTCTCAAGGTATTTTTTATTTCTTTTGATTTCTTCTTTGACCCATTGCTCATTCAGTTGCATGTTTAATCTCCACATATTTGCGAATTTTCCAGTTTTCTTCTTTTCACTGATTTCTAGTTTCACACCATTGTGGTCAGTAAAGATGCTTGACAGATTTCAGTCTTCTTAAATTTATTGACTTGTTTTGTGGCCTAATGTATGACTTCTCCTGGAGAATGTTCTGTGTGCACTTGAGAACACTGTGTATTCTGCTACTGTTGGATGGAAGGTTCTGTAGTTATCTATTAAGTCCATCTGGTCTAAAATGTCATTTAAGTCCAATTATTGAGTTCTGTCTGGATGATGTATACAGTGTTGAAAAATAGGGTATTGAAGTCCCTGCTATTATTATATTGCTGCATATTTTACTCTTCAGGTGGGTTAATATTTGTTTCATATATTTAGGTGCAATGTTGGGTGTGTAAATATTTATAAATTATTTTCTCTTGGTGGATTGACCCTTTTATCATTATATAATAACCTTCTCTGTCCCTTATTACAGTCTTTGGCTTTAAGTCTATTTTGTCTAATAGAAATACACCTACTCCTGCTTTCTAGTTTCCATTTGCATGGAATATCTCTTTCCATCTCTTCACTTGCAGTCTGTGTGTGTCCTTAAAGCTGAAGTATCTTATAGCTGCATATAGTTTGGTTTTTTTAAATCCACTCAGCGAGGGGCGCCTGGGTGGCTCAGTTGGTTAAGCGACTGCCTTCGGCTCAGGTCATGATCCTGGAGTCCCAGGATCGAGTCCCGCATCAGGCTCCCTGCTCGGCAGGGAGTCTGCTTCTCCCTCTGACCCTCCCCCGTCTCATGCTCTCTCTCTATCTCATTCTCTCTCTCAAATAAATAAATAAAATCTTAAAAAAAAAAAAAATACCCTTTAAAAAAAAAAATCCACTCAGTGACTCTGTCTTTGGATTAGAGAATTCAGTCCATTTAAAGCAATGGTTAATAAAATGGCAATAGTAAATCCATGTCTAATTGTCTTCCTTTCTCTTTCTCTTTTGTGTATTTACTGTAAGTTTTTGCATTGAGGTTATCATGAAACTTACATAAAACTTTTAAACTAACAACTTTCCAACTGCCCACTAAAGCTGTTCCCATTGTTTTCAGTGTCACAAATTACATATTTTTACCTTGTATATCCAGTAACAAATTGTAGTTATAGCTATTTTTAGTACTTTTGTCTTTTGACCTTCATACTAGATTTATAAGTGATTTACCCACCATTACATTAGCATGTTCTGAATTTATATATTTACCCTTACCAGTGAGATTTATACTTCCATATGTTTTCCTCTTACTAATTAGCATCCTTTCATTTCAGCTTGAAGGATTCCCCTGGACATTTCATATAAGACTGGTCTAGTGGTGATGAACTCCTTCAGCTTTTGCTTGTCTGGAAAACTCTCTTCTTCAGTCCTGAAGAACTTTGCCAGGTAGCGTATTCTTGATTGCCAATTTTTTTCTTTCAGCACTTTGACTATATCATCCCATTTTTCTGGCCTACAGAGTTTCTGCTGAAAAATCTGCCGATAGTATTATGGGTTTCTCTTGTACATAGCCATTTGTTTTTCTCTTGCTACTCTTAAGATTCTCTGATCTTTAACTTTTGGCAATTTAATTATGTGTCTTGGTGTGGATATGTTTGGATTCATCTTATTTGGTGTTCTCTGGGCTTCCTGGTTGGGGAAGAATTCAGCCATTATTTCTTTGACTAAGCTTTCTGCCTCTTTCTCTTTTCCTTCAAGGAGCCCTATAATGCAAATATTGATCGGCTTGATGGTATCCCATAATTCCTTTAAGCTATCTTCACTCTTTTTGGTCCTCTGATTGGATGAATTCCACTGTCATCTTTGAATCTGCTGATCCTTTCACACAATCTAGTCTGTCATTGAAACACTCTATTGAATTTTTCAGTTTATTATTTTCCAGGTTTATGATTTGTTTGGTATTTGCTTATATTTTCTGTATCTGTGTTGAAATTCTTACTTTGCTCATGCATTATTCTTCTGACTTTGGTGAAAATCTTTATTATTTTGAACTCTTTATCAGGTCACCTATCCATATAATTAAGGTTTATTTCTCAAGTTTTATCTTCTGTATTCTTTATTTTTTTTTAAAAAAAGATTTTATTTATTTGACAGAGAAAGACACAGCGAGAGAGGGAACACAAACGGGGAGGGAGAAGCAGACTCCCTGCCGAGCAGGGAGCCCGATGCGGGACTCGATCCCGGGACTCCAGGATCATGACCTGAGCCGAAGGCAGTCGCTTAACCAACTGAGCCACCCAGGTGCCCCTGTATTCCTCTGTTTAATCATTCTTCTCAACACTCTGTTGATTTCTGTGCATTATGTATAACAGCCACTTCTTCCAGTCTTGACAGAGTGGTCTTATTTAGATGAAACTTGTCATTGAGTCTGCTGAGTTCTTGGTTCTCTCTCAAACCTTTGTGACTATCCAAGCCGCCTTCTTTGTTCTTAGTGTCTGCCACCAGTTGAGGGTCTGCCAAAACCTGTCACTGTTCCAAATGGGAGGAGGATCTGTACCTAGAAGCAGGCGGATTGGAAGCTGGACTTTTAAAGTACGTAAACAGACTTCTTTCGGGGAAAGACTGGGAGATGGGTGTTTCTGCTTGCTGTCTCTGTGCTGAGCCCTGAATGGTTTGTTGGCTACAGTCCTGAGGGACCCAAAAACACAAGCTCTGCTGGCCACCAGAGCCAGGCAGTCGAGGGGTGCATTCCCTGGGTAGCAGCCACAAAAGCCAGGGCACAAGACATGCATAAAGTTCTTCCAGGGAGACACCAGTGATCTGGAATGTGCCAGAAGGAAAATGCAGATATGGCTCCCTTCTGCCTCCCCAGGCTCCATGGAGTATCACAGTCAGTCTCTAGATGTGTGCTAAATTAGAAGCCTCGGCCTCAGGTTGCAGCTTTTAAGATATGCAAATAGGCATCCATTAGCTAGTACTTATTGTTAGCTAACTTACTGTTGTTAGCTAATGGTTATATTCACTGTATCTACATAATAAAACAAGTGGTTAAGTCACTTGTTAGGTCCGTGCATAATTAAACAGTGTTGATAGGATTTAGGGATGACCTCAGTTTACCTTCAGATGCTGTACTCCAGTTTTAGCTTTGACTATCCAGTCTACAAAGGTCTACCATCTTCAAAATGTTAAAGACAGGACTCAGCAATTCCACTTAGTATATATCCAAGAGAATGGAAAACATGGCCACATAAAAGCTTGTACATAAATGTTTACAGCTGTATTATTCATAATAGCCAAAAAATGGAAAGAACCTAAATATCCATCAGCTGATGGATATCCATAAACAAATGTGGTATATCTCCACACAACTGAATAATATTTGACCATAAAAAGGAATGAAGTACTGATACATGCTACATCATAAATGAACCCTGAAAACAGGCTAAGAAAAAGCCAGACACAAAAGGCCACACATTGTATGATTCCATTTATATGAAATGTCCATAATAGTCCAAATCCATAGAGAGAGGAAGTAGATTAGTGTTTGCCAGGAGCTGAGGGGAAAGGTGGTGAGGAATGATTGCTAATGAGTATAGAGTTCATTTTAGGGATGATGAAATGTTCTGAAATTAGTGGGGAGGGCTGTACAACACTGTATATTTAAAAGGGTGAATTCTATGGTATGTGATTTCTATCTTAATGCTGTTACTTAAAAATAAGTCAACATGATTTCTTTTTTTTTTTAAGATTTTATTTTTAAGCAATCTCTACACCCAATGTGGGGCTAGAACTCATGACCCCGAGATCAAGAGTCACATGCTCTACCGACTGAGCCAGGCACTACATGATTTCCTATTTCTCAAATGCTCAAGGTCAATTGATGCAACTTTTAAATGAGCATGAAAGAAAGGTACACATTATTTAGCTAAAAAGAATCTTGATACTGTTAGTATATATAATGGCTTAGAATAGTTTTATATCATATTCTGATCAATAATGGATTAGATACTTTATCCTTATCTGGGAAAAAATACAAGTATAGGTAGCTACAGTCTGGAAAGAATTACTATAGGCTATAGTTCTTTTAAAAAAAGAAGTATTTGTTCTCAGCAATATGAAAAACTTATAAGGAACTGACCCATGGATGACAACAGGTCTGACAAAGTTAACATGAGACAAAGGTTTACACGGATATACATTTTTTTTTTTTTTAATTTACAGCACATGGAAACCCAGAACAAAGAGTTTTTATATTCTAGTTCAGTCTCCTATCTAGGTACTTTCTGAATGGTATTTTTGTGATGATTGTTCTCCCTTTAGAAACCATTGGTGTTCCTCCTAGCGTGAGCTGGAGACCATCATAGATGACAAAAGGCATTTTCTATCCCTAGCAGCTTGTTCCCTGCACCAGGGACAACACTGCAAAACATAAGCTGGCACACATGGAATTTCTTTTAAATCAAAATAATCCAGTCTAGCCCTTCATTCTTTGATTGCCACTCTGTTTGTGCTTTACAGTGCATGAACTGAGAACCATATTCTGTTGCCTGCAACATGCTCCAGACCACGTCGATGCCACAGTGACTATGTTCGCATGATTGCTCAGAGCTTAAAAAGAGAAACAGAACACCGAGTTTCTTGCAAAATGGAAGACGATAACTCAGTTTTCAAGGTCTTTGGCTAAAGTTTCACAGATGAATTGTAAGGTGCGCTGGTATAAAAAAGCATCCTTTTTCTTTGGCTTACAAATGTTCAAATGGTCAACATCCACAGGAATTAGATCTCCAATGCCTAAATCTGAAGAAAACAAAAATATCAATAAAATCTAAGTAAAAATCTAGACGTCCCCTGTCAATACTGAAAGAAGATGTATGGATAGTTCTAAATGGTGATTTGGTTGTGATAAGGGACTCTAAAAAGATACAGGAACTGGAAGTTTGACCACAGCTAAACTACATGTGACTAATCACATGAGAATGGATTCTCAGTAGGTCTAATTTTAAGCTTTTCATAAATTCTTTGTATGTAATCTGGCCTACTTCCTAATTTAATAGTGAACAGAACCTGAGCAGTATCATCATCAAAACTTTTATACACATGCATGTTACTACTACATTATTCCACACTTTTTAACCACCTCTTTTTCTAGAGTTTATATTATTATACTTCATAATGAGCTCCCCTGTCCTGATGACAAGAATGGGAATGTCTCACATAGGATCCATTCTTCACTCTGCCACGGGGAAGATGATTTAGTGCTTGAGAGATCTAGTTGAGTTTCTGATGTTTCAGCCTAACAAAGTGCACCTAGATGGAAGTGACAAGAGGTCCTGGTGAGGACTGCCAGGTGAGGACTGCCAGGTAAGGAATGTAGGTGGTGGTTATGAAGGGAAGACAAACCTCCTCATGACCCCCAAAGGGCAGACAGAATTATGACAAGGCTCTGTAGCGACAAACAGGTGGCCCACAGTATTACCTTTACTTTTGCTTCAAGCTTCCAAAGTCCTTTTTTTAAGTTCTACAACTACTAAATAGTAACTCCTCACTGTACAGCGTATTACTTTGTGGTAAAGCCACTTTAGGTTCTACTACAGAGTATTTAATACATAATGGAGTTAGGACAAAACTTGTTATACAGGCTGAAGAACCATCTGGCAGGCACTCCAGATTCCCACTGTCCCTGGGAGCTCTCAGTATGGCCGAGTGCCACTAAGACAGCACCTAATCCTGCCTCAGAGGTCATCAGGTTGGCCAGGTGAGAGAAAAGCATTTCAAGGAGGGAAATGTGTGGGTTATCTACTATTACTATTACTGAGTTAATACAGGAGTCAATAAAGAGAATTAAGATTTGGGCCCTACCTCAAAGAGCCTATATTACATTATAACACACCACAGTAAAAGGTATTGGTTATTTCCTTCAACTCCAGGATTATAAAAGAAATTGTTGCTTGAATATCCCCCATCTAAGATTCCAATGGAAAAAAATGTTTAAAAAAATCTTTCATTTGTTAAAGCTTTCACACCTTTAGCTGCACAGAGAAAGCTTTAACAAATCAATTATCAGTGTGTTAAATGCCCCTTTCGTTGTAGCTGATAGAAGGTCTTTGAATTCTTAATACAACAGAGCTCACGGAGGCAGCCAATTAACCTCTGCCAGCTAAATGAAGGGAAGGAGGAGTAATGCCAAGGTTGTATGTTGGCAGAGAAATTTTAATCTATAGCTGAAAAGAATAATAGAATCTAGATCTTCATATAAACTGTCTCCTAAAATTGAGAAGCTTGAATATAAAAATGGGTTGTTTATGATTAAATATAGGTACCACCAACCAGGCATCTAACAGCAAACAAATTTCAAAAGAAGGAGTACCTGCTGATTCCACGGGCACCACATGCAGTTTAATCATGCTACCAATGTAAGTTGGCAGTGTTTCTACAAAATTCAGCACCTGAAAATTTTTGTCTTTAGCAAACTCCAGAAAATCATCTTGTAGTGTTTTAAGTGCAGGAGAATCTGTAAAATTCCAGAAAACAAGACTGTGACAAATTCTGTTTACCCAATTTATAATAAAATGTACTAAAGAGAAAATCAGGGTTCTGGTTCAAGATAATAACTTGTTTATTTTCTCTCCTTCCTATGAAGTCATTAAGATGAGAGTAGAGCTAAAGCCACAGCAGAACTGATAGAGGCCGGCAGGCCGAGGGAGAGGCTTCACATGTTACTGGTTGACCATAAGCATGCGGGGCAATGTGGTATGTGGGACTGGGGTCCCTCAGTGTGCTGGCTGGAACCTTCACCCTAAAGCACAGCCTCCCATCGACAAGAACTGTCTATAATCACAGAGGGCCTGCCCCCCATCCTCAACTAGGAAAAGGCAACCAAGACATACCAGACCCTAGAGGATAGCTTACAACCTAAAAGAGACCCAGTGAGCAAACAAAACACCTGGGCACAGAAGACACAGAACTCAGTGAAGAAACTTAAGAAAAAACTCTAATTAGCATTGTTAGAATGATTTCAAAAGAATCAGAACAAGAAAGAGCTTCTGGAAAATAAAACTTGACTGCAAAAAATAAAGTTCAATAGAAGGTTTAGAATATAAAAAGTAACTCTCCATAAAGCAGAAGAAAGAGAAAATATGAACAAAAAGACAACTAGCATATTAAAGGCTCAGCCAGGGCCTCCAAATTGATTATTAATCAAAATAAGTATGTTATAATTAATATCCTGAAAATCTTAAGTCTGTTTATATTTTAACAGTTGATTTTCCAAACTCATGGAAAACAGTTCATTGGTAATTTGGAATAATCCTTAAAACATGACATAACTTAAAATTTTAAATATTTAAGATAGTATTAAAATTGTATTTGAGGATACCTTTGATACCTTAAGGAAAGGTATCAAAGAAAAATCAAGCCCAAACTAAAAATTTTCCATGATAGTCTAAACACAATTTGTATATAAATAATAAAATGGGATAATATAGCCAAGTTAGAAACCGTCTTCTTTTCTCCTTCTCCTGTATAACTGATATTAATACAATCCCAATTCCCCTTCATGACAGAACATAAATATTACCCTTGCTGAGTTCTTTGACTTCCAAAGAGGGAAAAAGAAGATAGCGAACGTTAACAGAGTATTCAGCCAGATGGGATCCATGATGAGGAACGCTATAAAAAATTATTCCTCTGGTATTGTTTATAACAGTACTCATTTCTGGCTTCTTAGAGGCTTCCAGCAGCATCTTTTTGACAAGAAGACCTAGCCATACAAAGAAAAACAATGCATAAGCTCTTTTTCTTCCCTCCATTATTCTAAAACAAAAGGAGGTGGGGAACAACACAAAAAGAGATGTTTTCTTTAAAGTTTAAATAATTCTCTAGAGTCCAACACACAGGGCCTTAAAATACTAGCACTTGGTAATACTGCTGACCTAGAATCCAGCGGACCCTTGAAGAGCATGGTTTCAATGGTATGGATGCACTTATACACATGATGGATTTCATACAGTACTATTAATGTATCTTACGATTTTCTTTACATTTTCTTTATTGTAAGAATACATACAGAATACATATACAAAACATATTAAGGTCAGTAAAGCTTCTGGTCGACAGTAGGCTATTAGTAGCTAAGTTTTTGGGGAGTCAAAAGTTATAGGCAGATTTCTGACTGCACAGGGAAGTCAGTGTCCCTAATCCCCATGCTGTTTCAGGGTCAACTGTATATAATACAAGCCTACAAACAGGTGAGATTCTAGAAATCTAGAAATCTCTTCTAGAATCTAGAAATCTCACCCTAGACAGATCTTTTATCATAGAATACACTATCTCCTAGAAGGAGTACTAGGCATTGCTATGTTGGGTGTCCATCAATGAAGTAAATATGCAGCACCATGTGTCCCTATCCTGTCCCCAGTGGCCCACTAATGACCACAACATTAGGGCAGTACTAATATTCAAAAAAGACAGAGCCCCATAAAGCTTATCCACCATGGAAAACAAAGTTTCTGTAGGAAAATGCACCTAGGAAGGCCCCATCTCTTCCATCTCCCCACCCTGGGCTTGAAGCTGATAATACAACACAGAGGTCACTTATATGGTTGGTAACCGTGGATCTCTGTGGACACAAAGGGCTACATCCACCTCTCTCTCAGCAAAGAGCCCCACCTCAGAGTTTGCAATCCCGAGCGTTTCATCAGATAAACTAGGCCAGAGGCTGTAGCAAGGCCCTCTCCAAGGCGGATGGTAACATCTCTTGTGAGAATGGGCTGGGGAGTGGGCCGAGAGGAGCAGATGTCACTTAGCAAGCACACACCAGGACCCAAAGAGCAGACATCTGCCATCACACCTCCCCCTCAGCAGGCTTGGGGCTGTGGGCTCTGCAATGCTCGGGGATGCAGGGAAGAAAGGAGAGCACAGGGACCAGCCAGGAATGTTGAGGGATATTCACCAGGCAGGCTTATATGAGCCACGGACTGCTTCTGATATTCACTGATTATCACTATATGAAAGCATTACGTTGCCAACCACATGTTCCTTTGACATGGTTTGTTACTAGTGGTCCCCTTGTAGAAAAACAATTAGGATGGAAGGAAAGTAGTCATTTAAAAACTCTTAGCTATAGCCAAAAACATTAATTTAGAGGGAAAAGGGGCCAGTATTAAGTGAAACAGGGAGCTGTGGTAACAGGTGAGCCCCACTAGCTGACAATAACCTCACAGTGCTGGCTTCACAAAAGTGAAACATACTTACCTCCCATGCTATGTGAAACCCAAATGACTGGCCTATCCCCAACACCAGCCGCTCTGAGCTTCCTTAGAAGTTCGTTGCTCCTGAATGCAATGGACTTTCTGAACAAAATGAAAACAGCAGGCATTATATGAGGCTATTGATTCTGCACCCCCCCCCCCACAATTTTACTATCCAAGTTTTTAAGGCAAGAACTTTCATTG